CGCGCGGCCTGTGACATGCGCGATGTTGTTGGGGGGGGGGGGGGGGAGGGGGGTGGTGTTCTGCTCGGTGCCACTGGTTCGCCGTGGCTCTTGGCGAGAGATGCACCCGGGGTGTTGGAGCCATTATCTGCCAAGGTTACTAATGCTGCCGCGCTAATGATGGCATTAGTCGCCGTGGCAATCTTTCGAGTTATTGATTTTCACCTTCGCGTGTTCGCGACTCGCTCGACCAGAGTGAGCGTTTCGTCTCATCCACCGCCGTGCTCAGCCAACCAACGCTACATTACACCACCCCCTCTCTCTCTAGTGAATAAAAGGCTTTACCCTTCCTGGCAATGAAACCAAGTGTTAAGATGTTAAAGCACCAATTATAGATACCTGTTGCAAGACATAAAGTCTGAAGTAAGCACACACACGCTTGTGGCATAAACCAGTGTGTGGGCTGGCAGGACTGTCGCTCAACTGCCTGGGAACGCCTGGGGTTCCCCAGGAAGAGCTAGAGTCTGTGTATAGTGTATTGTGTAGTGTAGTGTATCGTGTAGTGTATCGTGTAGTGTATAGTAGTGTGTAGTGTGGGGAGCGGTAGTGTCGTGGTTAACGCGCTGCGCTATGAACCCGGCGACCAGGGTTTGATCCCCGCTCACGGCCAACACCAGTGACGATTGACTGAAACGGTCATGGGCCTCCCCTAGGTCGACTCAGCCACAAATAAGTACCTGGTGCGGTGTAAACATCGCCTCTGGGGAGACAAAGGCGGTCGGGCGTGGTGCTGGCTACCCACCCTCTCGTGTAGCGTTCCGGCCTTCATAGGTGCTCGTTAACAGCACTTGGCCCTACAGTCTGATAAGACTATACGGGGAATCTTTGTCGTAGTCATGTATAGCTTAGTAGTGCTAGAGTCTGTCGCCAGAGCTAAGGAAGGTGTGGACCGCCACGACTCAACACGCTGCCTCCCGCAACCCTCAACAGGACAAGCGGACTGAGAAACGAACGAAGTTGCGGCAAAACTCACACACAGACATGCTCTGCTGCTTTTGGTGTTAAAAGCAAAAAAACACTAATGTAGACTGTAGCCTGGTTCTAAATCGGAGTGAGTGTACTGGCAGTCTGTCATGTAGACTGTAGCAATGGTTATTAATTACATTGCTACAGTCTACATTATAGACTGCCAGTACGCTCACCGAGGTTAAGAACCAGGCTTCAGTCTACATTACAGACTGCCAGTACACTCACCCAGCTTAATAACCAGGCTACAGTCTACATTAGTTTTTTTTAATTATTTTTATTCACTTTATTTTTTTTCTATCGACGTGACTCTACCGAAAGAACCAAAGAATATAAATTCCTGCAGTCACGAAAGTTTTAAGTCAAAAGTTTAATTCATAATTTTCATACTGACCACAAGGGTCCAGAGGCGTAGCTAGGATATTTTGCGCCCGGGGACGAACTATAAAATTGGCGCCCCCCCCCCCCCCCCCCGTTTATTCACATTTTCCTATTACATCGAATAAGGAATAACAATTTAAATGTTAATGAAACATTGTATTTAAAGAAGCAAATTTATAGATATTATATTACATGGCTCACTCAGTCACTGTCGTAGACTGGTTGACATAGTCTACAAAAAATTAAGTTTTCTTGATTTCACTGTCGCAAACTGGTCAATCACGTAATCAAAATCTGTTTTTTCCAATGTTTCTCTTTCAACGATAAGAAGAGCAAGATCGCTGAGACGATCTTGTCCCATTGAAGCACGCAAATTCGACAAAATAAGTTTCAATTTGCTGAACGACCGCTCACAGCTTGCAATTGAAACTGCTATTGTTATTAAAATTTGCAGTGAAATTCGCAAATTCGGAAATATTTCGTCTCCATAAAACACAATAAAACCAAGAAGATTCCAAAGGAGTTTCTGGTAAAACTTAATTCCGGTTACTGAAAAGCATTTTGCAATCTCCAATTTCTGTGAAAAGTTCGTGGCCATTGATGTCGGTGTCATAGAAATTTCCAAATCTGTGCAATTTCGACGAATTGCATCGACATCTGTGTTGGATAGAAGAGTTTTGACGTCCAGCAGAAATCCCAATTTTGTGTTCAGGTCTTTTAGTCGTAAAAACCGTGTTGACATCTCCTGTTGAAGTCGATAAAATACGCTCTTCATAACGCGCACAATTTCTACTTCTACTGAAAGTCCTGCATCTCTTGCCAGTTCTCCTGGCATCTTCCGACGTCGCCTAATTCTTCTGTCCACATCGATCCCTCAGGCTGTGCATCTTGTTTTGGCGTTTTCTACAGCAACCTGGCTCAAATCATCACGAAGCTAGACAAATTAATGCTCCAAAGATTCAAGATCAGCTGCTGCTTCCTTGAAATTCATAGTAGGATCCTGTAAGCGCTTCTGAACACGATCAATTTTTCCAAGAATGACATTCCAGAAATGTAATAAAACTATGAAGTTAAAATTTAATACGCATGCCTGTAACTGTTCTGCATCACTTCTGGTTTCAGGCGTCATAGTTACGTCCTCCGATAATTTGTCTAGCAGCCCTAATGTATTTATCAACAAATATCATAAAACATATCTCTTGTTGTTCAAGTAGGTCGCCGCTTTGGACGCTACCGCCTATAAGCTTATACTGTTGGTCGTACGCGGCCATGTAACGGCATAGACTTACCCGCCGAGGTTGACGCTCGTCCGGTGGCTTGTAGTCGTGGCGCGGTGGTCTAGCTAACACAGTAACACTCTCACTTAGTGTCCGCCAGCGAGCATGGCTCGGCTCTTAGGTCAGTTCAAATATAAGGTATGAGCGACGTACACGTATAAGTGAGCCTTGTAGTAAATGCTGCTAAATGAAGGCCACGCTATGTTAACGTGCGTGGGCTGCTCCGGCTGCTGCAGCCGCCTGGAACGTGGTGGTGTCACTAATAAGAACGAAAAATAGGCCGTCGTAGTTTCCGCCACCAAAAAACAGGCCAGTGACTAAGGCTGAAAGACTGCGCCTGACTATTGTTTGGGACGTTTTTCCATGTAAGTTCTTAATAGGCGCGCGTAACCAAAATGTAATTACATGACATGTAGGCTGTGTGTGGCGGGATATATAAACTTTTAGGTTGAGGTGTAGATTTGTGCAGTAGTTTCCGGCTGCCGCGCCCGCCGCAATAAGTTATAATGTCACGTTGTAAGCCTAATTTTGGCGCCCCTTTACCTTGGCGCCCGGGGACACATGTACCCCCCTGCCCCCCCTAGCTACGCCCTCTGCAAGGGTCTCGTAGAGACATTTCTCTCTGTGCTTCTCACCTCGCACTGCCCCGCCGTAGAATTCTCTCCCATCGTCTTTTCCCCCCCCCGAGTTCATTTATTTATTGCATGTTTTCCCCCACTCAACTATGTTCTACGGATACAACCCTTGAGATGATCGTCAGTTTTTTTTTCTTCAAGCGGGTGTCAATCGACACATACACAGGAAACACAAGCAATGACACGTGTGCATTCAAACTCTATATTGCTTATTACAGCTCGTACATTCAACATCGGACACATTAGCATCGTTTCGCTGTGGTCACGACATATATACGGGAGTGACAACCCCCTCTTGAACGTACGGCGTTGAATTTAACCGAGCCAAAGCAGGATGGTGGGATTTTGTCGTCGTATAGAGACGTCATTATTGGCAAACTTACCGATCGGATCTGGAAATGCTCGTCCTCCGCTTGGGCGCAGATAACCGGAGTTCCACGGCACTCTAATTATAATAAACCTACGCAGCTGCTGACTCGGCGCTGAAGCCCTCGGATCGTGTGCTACTGTGTGTTTTAGGAGTTCCTCAATCGGCGCAAACACCGTTTTATCTAACCTTGGCGAACGAGGAACTCTTACAAAAAAAATGCAAATACATTTTTGTCCAAATTGTTACTGGGCGTCGGGGCGGGGGGGGGAGAGATCTGTCGCGTGCAAATTCGAACAGAGATTGGCGAGCGTCGGAGTCCCTTTTAATGCCAGCCCGGGTCTGTGGTGCGCGTGCACGCGCGCGTGGTCACCATGCGCGTGCACGCGCGTGGTCGCCAGGCGCACGGCGGGGACGAGCGCGCGTTTTGTTTCGGAGAGCGGAAGGACGAACACCACGACGCCGCCTCGAATTAACAACAAAATTGGGCATCGGTTTTATTTTTTTGTACGACGCATCACTCCGAACGGCAGATTCAACGGCCGTTTTTTTGCACTTCTGCAGCCGTCTGGAACGCTCTTCCTTCATATATTAGGAATCCACTGGAGCAATGCACTTTTAAATAATCTCGAATTGCCAAACTAAATTTTTTTTAAACTGCTTCTTGTGTTTAGTTTGTCCAACCCCCCCCCGCACTGCCGATTAGCAAGCTTGGTGACGTACGATGCTAAATAGGTTATGCATACATACGTGGACAGTTGTAGCAGTTGGACACATGCGTAATATGCCAACTTTTACCCACGATAGTCTGTATACGCAGGTTTTTGCTGTGATATGGTTCCCGCACTGCACTCTGAACCTGGCACACGCCGAGTTCAATTCCCGGCCACGGCACAGATCAATGGTGAGTGAATTTTGCGTAAATCATGGTTCGCTCACCCACCCAACCCACCCCCACTTCACCAACCCGGACTAACCAGTAGTGGTGAAGTATGGTCAAACAGTTCGCGCGACCTTCACGATGTAGGGTCACCTTCATAGGTTGATTGATAAAGGCCTGTATAATATTATTATGCGGGTCTTGTAAAGAACCGGAATCGTTGACAGGCCCCCATTGGAAACAATCAGGAGGCTGGAGGCTGCTTCAAGAACGTCGACTGTCGGACGTGAAATAGCTCGTCGCGTTGAGGAAAAGGAAGCGATTGCGAGGTGCGATTGCAACAGTGGCTCCAAACGAGTAACGGCCTAAAACTCTCCAAAGTGGTGCCTCGTCCACCACGAGAAGCGAATAAAATCCCATCCCCCCCCCCCACCGCGTGGTGCAAGCGCGCTTACCTCGTGAGAAGGAAGCACTGCGGATCGTTCGGCTTGCGTCTTTGCGATGTGCCGTGTGTGTGTGCGCGCATGCATCGAAGCAGTACAACGACACTGCTTGATTTATGGCGCAAGCGGCGAGGAGGAAGCACGTGGTAGAACGTCTTTAATAAATAAATAAACATCGCCAAGTGGGCCCCTGCAACGCTTGCAAAAAAAATGCAGCATTAATGCGCGGATGGTAAGTCAAAGGTGCAGCCCTGCAATTGCTCGCACAGGGGCCGTCCATAAATGACATCACGCGATTTTTGACGATTTTTTACCCCCCCACCCCTTCGTCACACAGCGTCACAAAAAGTCAGACCCCCCCCTCAAATATGACGTCACAAAGCTCTGCGCCCCCCCCCCCAAAAAAAAAACATGCTTCAAATCGCTTTAAACAATTGTTATTGTAGTGCGTATTTAATGTGGCGCTGCACTCTGATGTTGTAGGAGAAAATATTTATTAAAAAGTACATTTAATTAAGTAGAACGTGTTGTCTATCCCCAACCAACCAATCCTAAATAACCAAGAAAAATGGACACCTGGACAAACTATATACACAAGCTCTTTGGCACCGCGAGAACACCTGCAGAAAAAGACCAACAGAAGTCGAAAGAAGCTCTACACATTTTAATATCAGAAGTAGAACATGCAATCAAAACAGCTAAGCCAGGCAAAGCGTGCGGGCCCGACACAATCCATGTAGAATTACTCAAACTATTAGACAGTAACAACATACGACAACTGACTAATTGGTACAATCAAATATACAATGGCAATAAAATTCCATCCGACTGGCTACAATCCATCTTTGTGGCCATACCAAAGAAAGCAACAAGCCAGAAATGCGAAGACTACAGACTGATAAGCTTGATGAGCCACGTGCTGAAAGTCTTCCTGAAGGTGATCCAACAGCGCATACGCTCCACATGCGAAAATGCATTGAAGAACACACAGTTTTGCTTCTGCAAAGGATTAGGCACAAGAGAAGCAATCTTCTGTCTACAGATACTACTACAGCGATGCTACGAACATCAGAAAGAAGTGTACATCTGCTTCATAGATTACGAGAAAGCCTTTGACTCAGTAGACCACGACCGACTAGCAGCTCTATTAAAACAACTGGGACTAGATACAAACGACATCAACTTCATCATTGCTCTTTATTGGAAGCAAACAGCCTAACTCCGATATGACAACGAATTGACAGACCCAACTCCAATACAAAAAGGTGTACGACAAGGCTGCCCACTGTCACCGAGTCTTTTCAACATCTACTCGGAGCAGATTTTTGATCGAACACTAGCAGATAAAAACGTTTGTATTAAAGTCAATGGACAATACATCAACAACATCAGGTATGCCGACGACACTGCACTGCTGGCCGATTCGGAACAAGACCTACAACAAATCTTGGACGAGGTTGCCACAGAGAGTCAAATATGGGGCTTACGAATTAACAAAAAGAAAACAAAGGTTATGAAGGTCAGCCGAACTACAAGCGAAATAACAATCAAGCTGGGCAGCGAAAAATTGGAACAAGTACACCGATTTAAATACCTTGGTGTAATCATTGACGATCAGTTGAACCATGAAGTCGAAATCAAGAGCAGAATTGAACAAGCAAGGCAAGCATTTATTAAATGGAAAACACTCCTTGCAGACCGCAACTTGAGTACATCACTGAAACTGCGTACACTGAAATGCTACATCTGGTCAATTTTGCTGTACGGAGTAGAGACGTGGACACTGACAACAACAGCAACAAAAAGGCTCGAAGCTTTCGAGATGTGGCTGTATCGAAGGAATGCTGAAAATCCCATGGACAGCCAAAACCACCAATACACAAGTTGTGCAAGATATGGGCACTGACAGGCAACTGCTGAAGACCATCATTAGCAGGAAGTGTTACTACCTAGGCCACATTGCCCGAAACGACCACAAATACCAGCTATTAAAGCAAATCCTGGAAGGAAAAATCGAAGGGAAAAAACGACCAGGACGGCCAAAAACGACATGGCTCAGTAACATCAAAACATGGCTACAATTAACAACAGCACAAACTCTACACGCCGTGCTAGACCGGGACCAATATCATCGTGAAGTCGCACACGCCGTTAGGCAGCACTAAAGAAGATGAAGTGTTGTCTATATTTAAAGTTGCGCATTTTGATGTGACGTCACATTTCTCACCCCCCCCCGTCACACATCGTCACAAATGTCTGACCCCCCCCCCCCCCTGGGTGCTGGGTGCGTTACGTCATTTATGGACGGCCCCTCACGCCACTGGCTGGCGGAAGTTGCTCCACGAGAAGGAGCTTCAGAACCCCCCCACCCAAGAGGGAATATTTTCGCCGATTCCCCACACTCCACTTGAACACACGCCTGGTGTACCCATTGTATGCTTCTGGGTGAACAGTAAGCAGATGGGAGGGGGGGGTTGAGATCACCTTCAACCACCGCGCCGGAAGAACGAATCGAACCGAGGCCGGTGATCGCTGGATTGCAGGCCCATTGTGATAATTTTTTGCACTACGGCAGCATCCCCGAGTTCATACGATAGAGGTTCAAAAATATTGTTCATTTTTGTATTGTATTATTGGGCTTTCTGGACCGCAACGTCCATTATTTATATTGCTACTCAAAGGGTGCGTTTGGTTGTGGTCGTGCGAGACTGCCCCCACCCCCTAGCCCCCCTCGACACCACCCACCCCGACTACGACTGCTGCTCCTCCGCCACTCCCACAACACCCACCCCAACTTTATTTGTTATTTTATTTGAACCTATCTACGTGACTTTACCGAAAGACCCAAAGAACACCCACCCCAACCCTAATCAGAACACATTGTGGGGCCTAAATGATAAGGGGCGGGGACAAAATATGAGGGGCGGGGCTTAAGCAATAAGAAGGCGGGGCCTAACTAATAAGGGGCGGGGCCTGAAGAGGAAAGGCGCAGAGCCGAAAAAGGAAGAGACAGAGCCGAACCACAAAGGCCCAGGGACCTTAAAGGGGAAGGAGGAAGAGCAGAGCATCAAATATGTGCAGCAGCATTATCTTTAGTGTCACAGATGCGGCCACAAGTCAAGTAGATGGAAATGAGTGCACGTGGAGCTTGCGATGATGACTCCGTGTAGATGTGCAGAGCAACGCATTTCGATGTGAGCATGGGGGGGGGGGGGAATGTTGCTTGCACGTGGTGACGTGTGCATGCCTTAAACATCTCTCGTGTTTTTAAATCGAAGTCCTTGCACGCCTTTGTTGGCCGTAGGGGGTTTCTTGATCTCGCGTCACCACGCTGGCGGATGCAGACCGGTTCGGATGTCGCCAACCACTGATTGTCATTGTCGTGGCCGAGAATCGGAAGGCGGGTCGCAGGCTTCTCATTTCGCGTGCTGATTTCATAGATTTTTGCTATAGAAGGTTGCGACGTGAATGTTTGCTAAATTGCATTAAATTCGTGGATGATGCTTGCGTGATAGAGTGGAATGGCGCGATGGTTAGTGAGGTGCATCGTGAAACCAGTGACCCGAATTCAATTCCCGGCCACGGCTAAGATCAGTGGTGAGTGATATCAAAACTGGTCCTGGGTACAACCCCATTCACCAGTTCCTGCTCCCACGTTAATGCTCACCGCTGTCACCAACCTGCACTGACCAGCGTGGTGAAGTATGGTTAAACGACCTGCACGGCATGGGGGAGGCAATCATCCAGAAAATTGACAAAAAAGGCTGTACACATGCAAGTACAGTAAACCTTCGTACAGCAATACAAAACAGCGACCCATATTTATTGAGTTCAATATTAAAAACAGTCAAGGATTCCGCATTAAGACGGCAATCGTTGCATATATGCTCGTATGTGCTAGGTTCACCGAGGAGATGCAGCGATGAAACCTGCTCCTGTGCATGTGTTATGTGGATAGGATGCCGAGATTATTACATAGCAGGATGGCTTGGGGAGCGCCTTCATCCAGCAGTGGATTGATCAAGACTGCACGGTACAACAATCGACGCACGCCTGATATCGATGCGGTAAAACGCAATCATTCGTATCTATCGTTTCCCCAGCCAGCGTTGGGTATCCAGTCGCTGAACCCTGGCCGCGTGCGGAGTCTCACTCAGACGTCTGTCGCTCATCGGTCTCCTCTTGCGGCTCCTCCTTCTGTTGAGGACTGCCCTCGAGTGGCTGCATGTGAAGCTTGGCGCCATCCCTGGTCGTGCTTCTGGCGAGGGGATCTTTGGAGCGGACAGAGCTGGTGGCGGAGGTGATTCGCGCGCGCCTGGTTGGTTCAGAGGGGGGGGGGGGCATTTTTCCACGCGTGAGCATGCGAGGGACACTCCATCCATCCGTTCATCCATCGGCCAACACGAGCAAGAGAGGGCACGGCGAGGTCATCATCAACATCATCGTCGAATATAGAAGTTAAATCCTGCGCACGTGAGCAATGAGGCAGCACGCATCACTCATTTTACGGTACTATGCCAGCGGTGGGAATTCTACATTGATAGGGTGGTGGTGGGGCGGGGGGCGAGTCGATCATTGTTGACTTCCCTGTTTTTTACGATCAGAGGAAACAAGAAGATGCTCGGTGTAGTCGGCACTCTGCTTCGTTCATCATTTCTTTTTTTTATTCCTTTATATTAAGTTCGCTTGCTTGCTTGCTTGCGTGCTTGTGTGCTTGCTTGCTTGCTTACGACCGTGTAAATCTTTTGGTCGTTTTTTAACCCACTTCCCGTGATTCAATCGAGTTGACATTTTCCACACAGACTCGTTGTGCGTGACAATTAATGTTCGTGAAGAAAAACAATTCCAAAATTTTACACTGTTTAGGGAAAACAAATTAAATATTTAATTACCAATTGCTTAATGGTGGCAGACAATCATCTGACCCATAGGTGGCAGCCATCTCAAGCCAGAGGACGAGAGGACTCTAGCCGCCCGTTTTAAAGACCAATGTGGGCTGGGTTGTGGCCCATTGAACACGCATATAAAGGATTTATAGTGAAAAACTTTGTTTTTACGGGTTAATTTTTTAAAGCTTTCCTTTATGTACCCCCCTCTCGCTCACTCTCTCTCGTTCTCCCTCTCGCTCTCTTTTTTTATAAACTACGACAAGTGCTGCATCTGCACGCAGCCCTTCTCGCAGTCCAACGGCCTCTGACGGGTAGCTCATATCTGCATGCAGAGCTCTCCGTCATCTGCCACCGAGCACACGGCCTCCTCCAGCGCCCACAATGCGGTACTTGGATGTATCGACCCCGGTGTGATGATGGGCCGAGTCGACTCCCAAGCAGGATTTCAACTCGCGGCATTCCAATTGTGAGCCACTGAGCCGCCTGGCCGGGCAATAATATATATATTTTTTAAAAGATACATTGACCTCGTATTAACGTGGGCGGACACATCTTGATCCCACGTTTCGGGGCAGAACTCCAAAAAAGTGACATTGCACTCTCGAAGCTCGAGCAGAGCACAGCGTGCAAAGCGAGCGTTGGCTTTTTGCTAAACAAATGAGTTGGCGATGCTGCGTTGGCAGTGACGTAGAAACACGATACACAAATAACTTCAACACATTCGTAAACAACACTGCCTTCGTTGGAACGCAATACACGAAGGGGCTAAGTTTCGCCGATTATCCATCTTATTCCCCCCCTCTGTCGAGTTGTTATTTGGCTTGCTGCTATAGCTGCCGCGTCTCCACGCTGCACGCTAACATCATGAATATTTATTTATCCGATGAACTATCCAAGCAGCCCCCAGTTGAGTCGCTACACAGTGACCACTGCGGTGTCCTGTAATTACACGGTGACTATTGCAGTGTCCTGTAGCTACACAGTGACTACTGCAGCGTTGGATTGTGAATTCCAGAATTGCCCTTCAGAATACAAGTGGGTTTTTTGTTTAGTGGCGGTTTAAAATATGTATTTCGTGACGTTTTGTTGACCTGACAAACCTTACTTATTGGCTATGTGGTGGCGGGTTTAACGACACATATATTTACACAAGCTAACCGCCAAATGAACTCGTTATTTTTTTTTTAAACAACGGTTTTATTAACAACTTTGTTTAACTCACGGTCGAGAAGTACGTCAATTGCGCCTGAGTCACGCGGCGCCTGCTTTTTGTGCAAGACGATTCCACAGTTTAGGGACCGCGGCGTTTTTGGCCTACACAAATATATATATAAATAATAAGGCTTCATACTCTTTGGTTCTTTCGGTAAAATCACATAGGTGAAAAAAATAGAAATAAATAAATCACGATGTTTCGATTGCAACGCGAGCAATCATCAGGTGTGACAACCTAAAATCGGTACTAGCCAGAGGGTTGAATTTTGCTGTCGTCCCCAAACATATCCCAGTGGATGATATAATTTTCCAGGTTGATGTAGCCCTAAAAGGATTGGGACACATCCCGACAGATGTTGCTAGAGCTGAAATTTCTACCATCCTTAAAAATGCTAATAAACCCGTTAGTAATATCACCAAAGACGAACGCTTGGAACTGGCAAAATTGAAAAAGAGGGATGACAGTCATCCTCTCAGCCGACAAGGGCAATGCCACTGTCATCATCGATAAAACCACATACAACAACAAAATCCAGGACCTTATTGATGGTAGCTACTCCAAAATCAACAAAGATCCCACTAACAGCCTGACGACAAAAAACAATATAATTACTAGTTCGACCTCTAATTGAACCAGCTAAACGGCTCTCCCTAAAACCTTCTGCTGCCAGACCACCAAGATTCTATGGTCGTCCTAAGATCCATAAAGAAGGCACACCACTTCGGCCCATCATTTCCACTATCAACTCACCTACCTACAAGCTAGCCCGTTTTCTGTATGACACCTTGCTTCCATTCACTGGAAAGACTACCTCAGCAGTACTTAATTCAGCTCACCTTGTCTCTATAATCAAGGGCATCTCATTGTCCCCAGATGATCTCGTCAGCTTTGATGTGGTTTCTCTGTTCACTAAATTTCCAGTGCCTGACACCTTAGCAATAATTGAAGATTTAGTCCAACATGGACTGAATCCTGATGTTCCTACTCCTGTTAGGCACTGCCTTACCAACACTTACTTCACCTGGAATGGTACTTTTTACAAACAAAATAAAGGTACACCCATAGGTTCCCCCTTATCTCCAGTGATAGCGAATGTTTTCATGAGGAAATTTGAAACTGATGCCATCCAGACATTCACCCAACGTCCTTCCTTGTGGAAGATATATGTAGATGACACTTTCGTCATTTGGCCACATGGCCTAACAGCATTGAACCAATTCCTCAACCACATCAATTCCATACACCCATCCATCAAATTCACCATGGAAGTGAAGGATGGTAAGCTACCATTCCTGGATGTTTTGTTTGAGAAGAAGCTTGATGGCTCCTTGGGACATCCTTTCTACAGGAAGCCACCCACACAGATTCCTATCTGAAACCTGAATCCCACCACCATCCGGCACAGAAGAAATTCCCTCATCAAAACCCTGCACCATAGGGCCCACTGCATTTCTGACCAACACCACCTAACCAGTGAACTGGAATACGTACACCAGGCCCTCAAGATGAATGGATACTCGGACCGTACTATCCGCAATGCTGTCTCTCCAACCATGGAGAAACAACCCCCTGAGACTCCGATCAAAACCATAACGTTACCATACATAGCAGGCGTTACCAAAAAGATTGCCAAAATCTTAAACAAACACAAGATCCAGGTCCGATTCAGTACAGTACACACAATCCGTGATCTAATCCCATCTGTGAAGGATGTCATTCCTGACTTGCAATTCCCTGGAGTCTACAAACTAAGTTGTATCTGTGGTGATTGTTACATTGGGGAAATGAAACGTCATTTCTCTGACCGAATCCGCGAGCACAAGTCAAATTTGAAACACGGCAGAACTAATTCCTCAGCCGTTGCTGATCATTGCTATGACGCTGTGGGCTCCCATGATATCGTTCTGCAAGCCGTCTGGCTACCATCAAAGATTTGTTCATGAAGCCATCCAGATATATAAAAATAGACGTAACTTCAACCGAGAGGACGAATATAAATTGAGCAATCATTGGAAAGATGTTATTAACCAAGTAAAATTTAACGTTTCATAGTTGTTCCATCTTAATTACCGGGTACTGGTCTATTTTACCGAGTTAATTGCATCCTCAGCACTATGAGATCTCCTTTACCAGTGGCAAAATATAGTAGTAGATTTTAACCCTTTCAACTGGTACAAAAACTGACACCTTTATACAAGGCATCATGTTTGCAAAAACCACAACACAAGCAGTCAAAATGCAAACAAAAAGAAACAACTCTGATGATGATAATCATATGCACTGTCCTTGAAGTTGATTGGTCCACACCCGAGACAGCTTTTCTTAGAGCCTAGTCTCCATTGGTGTTTGAGTTGTACGCCTTTTGGCGTCATCTGGTGTGCAAAATGTGGAGTTGATTGGACAACGGGAAGTGGACGAAATTTTTATTACAAGATTTGACCCAGACAAACAGAGGAATCAAATTAAGTAAAACCGTTGAAAAGACCTCGACAGTTTTGTGAACCTTTCGTTAAATGTTCTCCTTTTCTTTTCCCCACACTCTTGTAGAAAAACTCCCTTTTGCGGCAATTCTCTCACGCAGAGTGAACTACTCTGCGATACTTAGAATGGATGTTTAGTCTCGTGGTGTAATGCCGATAGCACAATTCAAATACATTGGGGGTGGGGGGAGAAGTAAACAAAAAAACAAACCAAGAGACAATTCTGTTATGCACTCAAACGGGGTAATGTAATATATTAAACTGGTTGAAAACCTCTGCACGATTGCTGCTGCTATGTCAACATTTCCCAGAAGGAAGCGTAATGCTGAGTTAAATATTTGCCAATCGCCTAGGCCCGAGTGCAATTTGCCCTTCCGGGAATAATAAAAGAAGGGAATTGCAGAGAACGAGAGGGACAGGACATTCATTATAAGAGCATGGGTGCTGAGTCGCACGCAATCAGACCAATTTACACGCTCTCACGAAGACCACGTCCTGCTAAGAACTAAACTAAACTAAATTTATTTTAAAACAGGTAAGGCCCACTGAGCTACATAGCTATTTTGCAGAGGCGACCTGGTCACAATTGAAAGCTCTAGGAAGTTGGCCTACCTTGTGGCAATGTATAGCAGCCAAATACTCTTAAACGCATGTTTCTAAAATGTGAAGGGGGAAAACCGAAGGACCCAGAAAAAAATCCACGCGACCACGGGGTAAGAGACACCGCAAA